CCCTCCTCCCCTCTCCTCCTCCTCCTCCTCCTCCCCCTCCTCCTCCTCCTCCCGCCTTCCCTTTGGTCCCTTCCCAATATGCATACAATATAAGACAATTCGTGCCCGGTCCTTTGTGCCTCGAAGGACCACTCTGGAGTGACTGTGCAACGATTGTGCATTCATTCCTTTTTTTTTTCCTGTTTCTCCGTGGCATTTTTTCAAGAGTTTCCCCCAAGTTCAAAAGTATCCACGCTCTTTCTATTCTGCTTCCGAAGGATCTCAGGAGAAAATCTTGACCATTCTGCAAGCCAAATTGTAAATAAAATCGATAAGAATGGCCCGAAAAACTGCTTAAAAGCGTGCTTATCGACTCTGACCACATGCTGGCATCAATTTCTGCGCACTTTTGATCTTTCCTAGATGAATAGAAGGATGTAATAGGTGGGGGCTGGAGTTGAATCCCTTTGTGTGGAGGTCCTTATTTCCCCTCTTATCTCCCCCCCATCCCCCCCCCCCTCAATGGACAGTGATAACCAAAAATTCTGCCATTGGGTCTGACGGGATGTTCTTGCAAGGGCAGGGCGCCCTCTATTGGTCAACAGGCCACATAGCAGAAATGTAGAACTTGTTTGTGATGGTTTTGGTTTTTGGGGCAATATTTTGGCTCTGGTCAAAAGCTTTGCCTGTATTCTCTATTCTTGTACTCTTGTCACCCATCCTGTGGCCTGTTCTGACCCACGGCCTTTTCTGACAAATCAAACACCATCCCAAAAGGAACAGAAACCTTGTAATGCTTTTACAAAATAATTAGCCGTGATAAGCACAAGCCTTGCCAAACTGTGCGAGACTTGCCAAAAGAGACAAGAAATAATTTGCAATACAAGAATCTTCAAATACAAACTCAGGATAGTGGAATGTCCACAGGGCTGGGGTTCCAAAACGTCTTTGCCTTCTGCAAAGTACGTTCCTTTCACAGCTGGCTTTTCTCTTCTTGAAGGAGGGGCCATTACCTTGCAGCCTTACTCCCGAGTCACCCGTGTTGTTGCAGCTACTCTTTCCTGCGAGCAGCCCTGCGTGCGCATGCACTTGGCACAGGCTCCTCAGGAACCTCCTCATCGCTGCTGCCAGCCCCTACAATCTCTGAAGGCAGCAGTCTACTCCCTGATGGTTCTGGCCCCTCATCTGAGTCCTCGCTCTCCTCGGCCGTCCTCACCTGCTGCCAGCTAACCACAACATGGCCTGTTTTTTTTTATTTCTCTAGTTCTGGTGTAACAAAAAGGACCCTGGGAGCAGCCGTTGCATTGCAACTTGCGGCAAGGAAAAATACAATCTTACTACATGCATGTCATTCTGGTTTTTTTTTCCGAATGTTCTTTCTACCAATGGGTGATGAGGAGGAGGAGGAGGAGGAGGAGGAAGAATAAGAAAAAAACTAGGCTAAAGGGGTTATGAAGTAACACTCCAAACCCTGACCCACTGATTGCAATGCAGTTTCAAGTGGCACCTGGTTCCCTCCAATACTACAGGTGGAACCAGGGGTGGGATTGTACCAGTTCGGACCAGTTCTATAGAACCGGTTGTTACCATTCTGTGCAGTTTGGAGAACTGCCAAATCACGCCACTGGCTGGCCCCGCCCTTCCCTGCTCACCCCTCCCCTCCCTGCCCAATCACTCCTTATCTCGCATGCGCGCCATCCAACTTGCCTGCGTTGTGCAAGCAAATTTTATCTGACAGACTCAGGCAGCAGATTGCAGAAAGGTAGATCCCTGAGTGAATCTGTGCTTCCACAAGCAACTCAATCTGCCTGCCTGCTTGGCCTGATTTTGCGTAAAAGCTGTTCTTTTTTTTTTTTGAATAAAAAAATCAATATTTACATAAATATTTACAATGTTTACATACAAGCCCCATCCAGCCAGTCATGTGACCACCAAGCCATGCCTAGTCAGAAAGCCACGCCCAGCCCGTCACACGACTGCAAGGAAATCACCAGGCTCAGAGAGCACCAAGGACCCCACAGTCCTCCTCCTCCTCTTCCTCCTCCTTCTCCTCCTCCATTCCACAATCCCCACTCCCTTCTAGTACTGATGATGTTACCTAGTTGGGTTATGAAATGTCTGCAAGAAAATCGCCAAGCACAGAGAGCACCAAGGACCCCATAGACATCTTCCTCCTCCTTCCTCCTCCTCTCCACAAACCCCACTCCCTTCTAGCACTGATGATGTTACCTAGTTTGGTAATGAAACTCTGCAAGAAAACAACCAAGCTCCGAAAGCGTCAAGGCCCCATTGCCGTCATCCTCCTCCTCCTCCTCCTCTGGAACCCCACTACCTTCTACTTCAGAGACCACCAAGGACCTCACAGGAAGGTCCTGTTTTACACCACCATCCCCCTTCAGGTCTCAACCCCCTACCCATCTCCTTCTGCCCACCTTCTCCCATCTGCACGGAGCCTCTGACTCAGGTGTTCTTCTCCCCAGGTGTCGAAGACGAGGATGAAGACGGCAGAGAGGAGAGGCTGCCCTCTTGCTTCGACTACGTCATGCATTTCCTGACTGTCTTCTGGAAGGTTCTCTTCGCCTGCGTGCCGCCCACCGAGTACTGGAACGGCTGGGCCTGCTTTAGTGTTAGCATCCTGGTCATCGGCATGCTGACCGCTCTGATCGGCGACCTGGCCTCCCACTTCGGCTGCACCGTGGGGCTCAAGGACTCTGTGAATGCGGTCGTCTTTGTGGCCTTGGGCACCTCCATCCCAGGTGTGCTCCCCAACCTGCCCCATTCGCAACAAGGCCCTTCGCCCAGCCAGCCGCTTCCAGGTGGCCCTTGACTTGCGACCGCCACTCCCCAAATTGCTGGCAGGTTTCCTGTTCACATTGGGTAGACTGGGCTGAAGCCACACGGGCCCGATCTTTCCTGAGTAGACACTGGGATGGCCCAGGGGTCAGATCTGACCACATCGCAGGCCAGATCTGGCTCGTGGACCTTGAGTTTGACGCCCCTGTTGTCAGGGGTGGGATTCAAAATCTGGTTCACTGCCCAATTGCTGGGTGGGCGTGGTGGGCGTGACCCTGCACCTACCTGCATCCAAAACAGTCCACGTGGAGACTCCGAGGAAGGGAGGGGAGGGGAGGGGAGGGCGGGGCCAGCCAGTCGATTCCACTATCGGTTCGGTACAGTGGTGGGATTCAAAATTTTTTACTACCGTTTCTGTGGGCGTGGCTTGGTGGGCATGGTGTGGCTTGGTGGGTGTGGCTTGGTGGGCATGGCAGGGGAAGGATACTGCAAAATCCCATTCCCTCCCCACCCCACTAACCTGCTTTCCAGCTCCGTTCTCCTGTGCAGGGCAACCAAAGGAGACACAGCCAATCAGCTGGGACTCGGGAGGCAGAGAATAGATGGGGGTGGGGCCAGTCAGAGGTGGTATTTGCCGGTTCTCTGAACTACTCAAAATTTCCACTACCGGTTCTCCAGAACTGGTCAGAACCTGCTGAATGCCACCTCTGGTTCGGCGAATCAGATGTAAATTTAATATCCGGTTCGCCCGAACCGGTCCGAATCGGTAGAATCCCACCCTGTGCCTGTTGTACATGCTCAACGCTCTCCTCTTTCCGCAGATACCTTTGCCAGCAAAGTGGCCGCCCTGCAGGACCAGTGCGCGGATGCGTCTATCGGCAACGTGACGGGCAGCAACGCGGTCAATGTCTTCTTGGGCTTGGGAGTGGCCTGGTCCGTGGCAGCCATCTACTGGGCTTTCCAAGGCAAAAACTTTGAGGTGCAGACGGGCACCCTGGCTTTCTCCGTCACCCTCTTCACCATCTTTGCCTTCGTTTGTATCAGCGTCCTCATGTACCGCCGGCGGCCCCACATAGGGGGAGAGCTGGGGGGTCCCCAAACCGCCAAAATCCTGACCACCACCCTCTTCATAGGCCTCTGGCTGCTCTACATCCTCTTTGCCGGCCTGGAGGCCTACTGCCACATCAAGGGCTTCTGAAGGATGTCCAGCCGTCCCTCCCCCAGAAGGTGGCGTTGCGGGAGAGTAGGGCTCACTTCGCGGCACCTTCCACAGGCCCGATGTCCTCCTTCTCCATGGTTTCAAGCTTCTTGAGAAGACAAACACCCTCCACCATCTAAGATGGAAGACGGATCTAGACTTCCCTCTCTTCTACCCACCCACCCGTTTGGACTGACTACGTTTTCAGGCATCTTCTGGTGGTTGGACAACTCTTATCCTCCAACTGGGAGACTTCTCCTCCCTTCTTGCCGGCCTCTAGCAAGGGACCCTGGTCCGTTCCAATCTCGGGGTCTCCCACTCACTGAGACTAGGGGTGCAATCCCAGAGGATTGGAGCAGGCATCTGTGTTAAACCCCCTGCCCCCAATTGCTACATGATCCCTTGGCCCTCCTTAAGAACCTTGTCATGTTTTTTTTTTTTAAGTGTCTTCCTGTGGCTATATCCTTTTTCTTTTTTCAAGCTGGTACCCTTGGCTTGGGTCCAAAGGAAGATTGCTCTCAATTTTGGGGGGCTCATAAAACTTGGGAGGAAGACAGGTTGAAGAACATCTACGTCCGAAGCAAAACAAGATGTATTATGACATCTCTCCCACCGCTGGACATTTTTAAGCACTTTCTTAGGGTCTAAGCTGGAGTGAAATCAGATCAGGAGATGGTGGACCACTTGTATCTTTCTCAATTAATAGGAACAACAGAAGGGGATGGATTTGGCCTCAGTACAGCCCCTTCCCCAGTTCCAATACTGGGGGCAGGACAGCAGTGTCAGTGGTGCGATCTTGCTGGGTTTGTGGGTCCTGGGAAAGAGTTGGGGTGGACTTCTGTGGAAGCTGTAAGTTTCCGGTTTTCTGTTTTGCTCTGTTGAACAAAGGAGTTCAAGTAACCATGTTCCTTCTCAGCCCCCACCTCCCTGGGAAGATTGTACACACCCCTCCGCGGTGGATGTACCCCAGTGTAAGACGGGGTGCTTTCTTCTGCTCCTCTATTTATGTCCGCCCCCTTGAAGACTCCTTCCTTTCTCCCTGGAAGCCAATGACCACAGCTGGATGGCAGATCTGACCAACGGGAGTGAAGGTGGCAGGTGGGATGCGTGAAACTCAGGTTCTCACTCAGAGAAGCGGGCGCTTGTGACCCCACTGTTGTCTGATGCTATCAGTGTAAAGTGGGGTCTAGTAACGTGTAAGCAGGGGTATCCTTAGCATTAGAAATGCTAGAACCGGATTTGGAATGAAGCGGTATGGATTTTGGCCAAGGGGAACAGGAATGCACCTGAAGAATTGGAACCAGAATTTCAGGAGTTGCCATCTTCACCTCTCCAGCCTGTGCGGTCCGGTGTTTGTAGATTTCTTTTCCAGGGTCCGCATTTGCCTCGGAGCAAACGTTGCATCTGGGTGTACATTTTAGGTCAACTTTCCCCGTGCACTGCAGATTTTTAGAGGCAGGGCCACCCCGTCGTGCTTGCATGCCAATAGGAGACAGAAGAACGTGGAAGACAAACCTTTAGAGCTATTCTGAGGATGGGAGAAGAAGACATTTCGGTCGACTTGAAACCGATAGCGGTAGAGCGAGGTTGGGCTTGAAGGACTGAGTAGAAGGTATCACACCACCTTCCGTCTTTTCTGGATAGAAGTTAGGTGGGGTGAAGAACGAAGGTTTGTTCAGGACCACGGACAGCTCTCTTTAGGCACCGCCGGCCAAGCTAGAGCATCTACATCTCCCACAATTCATCCTTGGCTTTGCTTCTCTAGAAGACCAGGTTGAGATCCTTCAGAGGCCCCAATTTTGCATTTGTTGACTTCTGCAGATTAAAGGGAACAAAGGCACATAGGGGAGGGGACGACAAATCTTCTGAGTCAGAGGTCTGTTCACATCTTCTAGGAGGGATGGCACAAGAGCAGGTTTCTGGCTTCAGCACTTACTTATCTTCAAGAAATTCAAGGCCACTGTTGCTCAACTTCGGCAATTGAAGTTGTCTGAACTTCAGCTCCCAGAATCCCCCAGCCAGCCCTGCTCTAGGTTATGGGCACAGGTGGGTTTTTCTCTCGTGGGGGAAAAACAAGAAGGAGAATTTTTTTTCCCCCGTTTGTAATAATATTTTTCTAGGATGATGGAAGCCGTCCTTCTAATGATGAATGCTGAAACAGTTGGAAGGGAGATGGAGGAAGAGGAAGAAGAAGAGGAGGGCGAGGAAGAGGAGGCGGCAGAAGAGGAGGAATATCTAGAACCCTGTTTCTCCACCTCATCAACTTCGAGATATGTGGACTTCGATTCCCAGAATTCCAAGGGTTGAAGTCCACAAGTTTTGAAGTCACTGAGTTAGCGAAACACCACTTAAGAATCGCGTCAAGCGGATTGTCCTGGGGGAGGATAATTAAGTAAGAGCAAGTAAGGAAAGTATCATTGATCTGTGCTGAAGAAATGTCTTTCTCTTTTTTACACATGTCATAAGCATTGCAGGATTCCAGTGATTGGCCTAATTAAATCATGAGCCTCGAGCCAAGCTTCAAAAACTATGAAGAATTTATTAGGCGCGAACATGTCGGCATGATCTGTAACGAAGCTAATTCTGAGACACGTAATTCACTGTCATCCTTGACCCTGGTTTCCCTCCAGCCCTTTGGGGTGCATCATAATTCATATTCTCCAACAAACACGTTCATAGCCGAGAGTCATCAATCACATTCTCCAATTAAGAGATTTGCGTGGTCGCTTAGTCACAACCTTTGCAAGATAAGAATGGAATGCACTTTCGGTTCCAAACTGCTGCGCTGCTCTTTCGAATTTCTCCCTCCCCGCTTTCTGTTCAGGGCAACTCTAAAACAAGCATAGAAATGTTTTATGAGTTGACAGCATGCACACATAAATGCGTCAGAGCTTGTAACGTAATAGCGCAAGGGAGCTTACTCGATTTGGGGGACCAGGGCATCGGATCCTGTGGGACATCCCTGAATCTTTGCCACTGCACAGGCATTCAAGATATAAGCCATAGTTTGTGTGACACCCCCCCCTTTGTTGCCTTCATGCCAAGCCTGGGAATGACCAGAGAAACAGTCCGTGATGCCCCTTCCAAACAGACCTAAATGGCGGTATCTTTTCCGTCCAGGGAGCCAAGGTTGAACATGAAACAGGGGAGCTGTGCAAACAAAGGATGGTATTCCAACTGGAGTTGGAACAATGATGGAGGGAGTTGAACGAGAGGATAGCAAGACAGCCAGTGGTTAAGGTGCTAGCCAATCACCAGGAGCCTGGGAGTTCTAGTTCCCTCCTTAGGCACAAAAGCTGGTTGGGTAACTTTGAGCCAATCACCAAGAGATTGTCAGTTCTAGTCATGCCTTAAGGCGTGAAAACTGACTGGGTGACTTTGGGCTAATCACCAGGTGATGGGGAGTTCTAGTCCTGCCTTAGGCATGAAAGCCAGCTGGGTGATATTGAGCCAAACACCAGGAGACGGTGAGTTCTGATCTTGGTTTAGGCACAAAAGCTGGCTGGGTGACTTTGAGCCAATCACCAAGAGATTGTGAGTTCTAGTCTTGCCTTAAGGCATGAGAGCTGAGTGGGTGACTTTGGGCCAAGCACCAGGTGATGGGGAGTTCTAGTTCTGCCTTAGGCATGAAAGCCAATTGGGTGATATTGAGCCAAACACCAGGAGACGTTGAGTTCTAGTCCTGCTTTAGACATGTAAGTCACCTGGGTGACTTTAGGCCAATCACCAGGTAACTGTGAATTCTAGTCTCACCTTAGCCATTGAAAGCCAGCTGGGTGACTTTGGACCAATCCCTTTCTTTCAGCCCCACCCAACTCACAGGGCTGTTGTTATGGGGAAAATAGGAAGAGAAAAGAGTATTATATTAATTCGCTGCCTTGAATGAATTACAAAAGTGGGGTGGAAAAAAAACCTAACCAATAAATAAGTATTCCTGAACGAGAAAGGGGAGAATAAAAGCTTGACTGCTTGCAGAGTTAACGTCCCTCTGGGCCGCTTAATTCATCCTCACCGAAAAATGGCCAAGTGTAGAAACTAGCCTGCTTTCACTCTTTTGTCTCGAATGCTTGCTTGTTGTTTATTTATTTTTTTAAAAAAATGGGGAGGGGGGATACTAAGAAAAGCCATGGATGCCCCTCTCATCTGCATTTACACAGAGAGGAGCTGCCCCCCACTGAATTCCCCAAGAATTCTTGGCAAAACGACCCACGGGCAAAATCCTTCGGCCAGCCATTTTGGTGCGCGTTCATTCACTCTCTTGACCGTAAGCTGGTAGGGCTGATATTGGCTAGTCTCCAACCAACCAGGATTTCTCTCCCCTTTTCAGTTTCCAAGCCCAAGTTGACTTGGCTTCCAAGCACTTTCCTAGCAAGGCCATACCACGTGTATTGTTGGTGTTTAAGTATCCGGTGGGCCTTATTTATTTTTCCCACCCAGTTTTCTTCTCGACACAAATTACGGGAATGATGTCCTACAACGACGAGGAAGCTGATAGCAGAGGGAAAGCCATAGAAAATGTTAAATAGCAAGGGAGAAATACCATTTGTCTGAAATGGGATAGGGGTTCCTGTCTGAGCAGGGGTTGGACTAGAAGACCTTTAAAGGTCCCTTCCAACTCTGTTCTTCCGTTAAAGGGGTGGGGATCCAGGCAGTGTTTTTAATACCGAGTTTTCTTAACGCTTCTTCCGTTTTGACACACGATAGAAAAGACCTTATAATGGACGAAACTTTGTAGAGTTTTTGGCTTAAGCATCCCCAAGGGCAAAAAAGAAGAAAGGAAAAAAAAAAAGCCCTTTACAGTTGTCTCTTTCTTTCTTTCTTTCTTTCTTTTCTAGTTTTCTGGCTCTTTCTAAGGTTTTTCATTTTTTTAAAGAAAAAAAATTGGGTTTCTGTGTGCATTATGTGCGTGGGGGTGTACAGATTGCCATAAACCGCTGCATTCTCTTGCCTTTTGTTCTGCAAACAGCTAAGAGTTTTTTTTTTTAAGTATGTTGCTTTTG